AGTTCAAGGATTTGGTGCAAATTCAACCTTTTGGGCCCATGGAAGATCAAGTAGAAGTAGAAGGTAATCAAAGAAAGAAGCAGTTTTATTCAGGATAAAGGGGCATTAATGTGGTAAGTCAGGCGTAAGGCTGCAACTTGGGCCGGGTTGGCCCGAACCCAACTTTAACCCAACCCGAAAAAGTTGAGTTGGGTTGGGTTGATGTTCGGGTTAGGGTTAGGGTTGAAATTCATGAACCCGACTTTACTTTGGGTTGGGTTAGGGTTGACCCCTTAGCCAACCCGACCCAACCCGAATCTGACTCTATAGTATATGTCATATATAAATATATGTTATATGTAATATATAACATACATTGATTTGTTTAGATGCATGATATTTATATAGCCCCCACCATATAGTATCATGTATTTCTTTTAAGATAGTCACTTCACTTAATTCTAATTAGAAAGACTAAACCTTAATAACATTATTTTTTGTTTTTTGAAAATTTTATTCTTCATCTCCTCTATGTTGTTTGCCGCCTAAGAAATATCTATCGTAAGTCATAACTCATAATAAACTATAGTCATTTCTGATACTTGTTTTTCTGAATTTTGTAACAAAAGAACCGAAAAAACGTCAACAAATAAATACTAATGAAACATAGGATTAATATATATAGTGAGAGTTGAGTTAAGATCTAAAATCAAGAAATTCTATGAGGTTTTAAGGGATGGGAAGAAGGTTGGGTTGGGCCCAACCCGAAATTGACTTTGGGTTCGGTTGGATTGGGTTAGGGTTGAAGGAATTTAGTTAGGGTTAGGGTTAGGGTTAGGGTTTGGTTAGTCGGGTTGAAGGCTGGGTTGGGGTTTAGAACTTGGGGTTGGGTTAGGATTGGCCTCAACCCAACCTAACCCGACCCGACTTGTAGCCCTAGTCAGGCAATACAACAGCAAAAGCCAAATGGGAGGGCGATTTAGAGTTCATAGAAGATAATACAAAATGGGAGGAGGAACAGGAGGTGTGGCCTGATGATGTAGAGGTGGAATTGACCAAGCTGATTGATGGGGAGATTGAGATTAGAAAAGCAATTGGCGTTTTTATATAGGAGGAAAAGAGGCAGCTAGACAACGGGAAAATGGTAGAAGTGTCAAAATGAGATAGCAGAGTATCAAGTGCGGAATGGGAGGGTTCAAGTTGAAGGGAGTAAGAGAGGTGCAAAGGGGATATGATTAGAAGACTTTGGGATGTTGATAGAGGTGGAGTGCTGTTGAAGGGAAAAGAGGGGGAGAATGGACAATTTTGCTAAGAAGTTGGCATCTTGTAAGAAAAACTATGTTTCATTGGGGGAGAATTAATCAAATAAACTTTTGCCAACCTACTAATTTATTACCTTTTTCTCTTCAAATTTCCAGCCTTAGTTGCAAAAAGAATAGAGAAATATGTAAGGGATTTCTTGTGGGGATCAAATGAGGGAAAGAACGATTATTTAATCAATTGGCTAACAGTACATGCAAAAACAAAGGGTGAATGAGGCACTACTACACTGATTAGATTAGGTCAAGAGATGCAACACTGCTAGGCAAATGGTCATAGAGATTCCCGTAGAGTTGGTCAAATTGTACCATGCTGTCATCAAAAGTATTCATGGTTTATTGGCCAATAATTGGGACACAAGTTTGAATTCAAGAGCTTCCTTGGATATTCCTAGGAAAGCTATGCTCTCCATCTTGCTAGATTCTTTGCAGTATATCAAATATGGTGTTCTTGGAGGTGAAAACAAAATTTTGGGTAGACTTTTAGAGGGAAAAAGATGCCCTTTAAGGCAGATTTCCTCTTCTCTATTCACTTTCTATGCATAAAGATCATTTGATCTCCCACCATATTTCCACAACTAATTAGAAGTTGTCTTGGGATTTGGGTCTTCAGGAGAGGATTGAGGGATCTTGAGATTTCAGATGCCCTCTCTCTTATAGAATCTTTGGAGGGCGTCTTTCTTGTTTAGGAAATCTTACTTTCCCCAACAAAGGAGAGAGGTTAAACTGTAATGGAGATGCATTGGGAGAGCAAAACTTTGGTGTATATGGGAAGAAAGGAACTCTAAAATCTTTAAAGAAAAGTCAAACAACAAGGAAGCCATCTTTTGTTTTTTCTGATCATAACAAACAAATTGAATTCATTGATAAAAATTCCTACTACCCAAAAATATGAGTGGCACATATGGAGTACAATATCGTTCTGTGAGCAACAATCAAGCATCTATGAGGGTGGGTCTGGCAAAACAGGGAGCAGTAAAGAAATGGTTGTTTTGGAGCATAATCCCCCAGGATGGAGGCTTCATTTTTTACAGTAGGGGGGGTTAGCAAAGGATAGCCAACATTTGGGGTGCTTGGTATGCTATATATAGAAGGGTGGTACTCGGAAGAAGTTGGGAGCATGGTTCATAATATTGATATTTATGAACATTTCGCCATGTAGAGTTGGAGAAATTTCGGAGATATTTTGCTAATTTCTCTAAGATATTTGGATAATCAATACGAAACCTTATATTTTGTATGCATTTGTACTGTAGATATTTGTATTTGTACTCCTTCCAAACAGAGCCTAAATTAGTTAATAAACCTTCAAGACATCATTAGAAGAAATATAACTGCATCTTTTTATTAGTAATGGCAAAATATAATTGCACTTTTAAAGGTCAAAAAACCATAGCGAAGAATTATATAAATCAAATAGGAAAAAAAAGCAATTGTAATAGGTGTGTTTCTCTTCGTCTCCCTTTTGGTCTTTAGCCATCTTTTCTTCTTTATTTATGTCAATTGTTTGCCATTTTAACTTTTGCCTTTGTTGTTACCATGTGTTTTGATTAGATTGAGAATACTTTTTAATAGTTATATCCATTTTTCTTGTTCTTTTGAATTATAGTGACTTAGTAAGCAAATCATATCAAAGTAGTAAGCCAATTATCCAATCACTAATTCCTTGTTGGTTCTTTTAGGAAAATATTTAAAAAAAATATGACAATTTTAATGAAATATTGAAAAGTTTTTAGTAATATTCTAAAATTTTAAACTTTAAATATATAGTCTATCAATGAAATCGTTGATATATCAGCAAAGATATTTCGAAAAAAAAATCACGGAAGATTTCGAATCACTACATAGCAAATGGGGATATATTGGGGATCTCTCTCTCTCTCTCTCTCTCTTCTCTTCTCTTCTCTTCTCTTCTCTCTGGGTGGAAACACCAAATCTAAGAAATATTTTAAAAGGGAATGCCAGATGATGAAGACATTATGTTGGCTATGTATGACTCTTACAATATATCATTGGAGAGTCATTTGCAAAGGGAAAAGAGGGAAAGGGGAAAGCTTTGCAAGCAGAGATCGAGGAACAGGGGAAATCTCACCCTAACTAATTGGCCCTTTGGAATCTACTCAGTTTGTAGAAGGCATTAAGGCAAGCTCTCTAGTGGTGTTATTTGGGTTATTTGAATGGAGCTGCTAACAAGTCTCTGCAAAAAGTGTTGGCCTTTGTCATTTGTCCAGGTTGGTTGGTTACAGCTGGTTTTAGGGAGTTTTCACTTTTCACAATGGATGGTCCTGTAGATAGCTGATTGAGCATGCTTCTTTTAAATAGTAATGGTTTATAACATTGAGTTTTTTATGGGATAAATTTGACATGTTTTTTCCTTAGGTTCATACCTTTTCGTGGGGATAGAGTGCAAGGTGTTTTCTTAATATCTTCATTTGCCCTCTCCCCCTTTTTGTATACACCATTATATATTATCTCTCTTAATATAGTTTCCACATTATTAATACCTATAAGAAAGGAGAGCTCGATTTCTAGCAAACAATTCTAGAAAAATCCCAAGACAACTATATTTTGACTACGGTAGTGGTATTCTAATAGAAAGCATCCTTGAGATTGAGCTGGTGTACACCTAGTGTTTTAAAAGGCACACCTAGGCGCACAAGCGAGGCGCATTTTAGGGTAGGCGCCTCGCCCAGGTCCTAGGTGCAGCACTTCCAAAAGGCGCCTTGCGCCTTGGCCCAGGCGGGTGCCTTTTGGTAATGTTGTTCATTCATTCATCCTACTAAAATATCTTCTTAAAAAGCAATTAAAATTATAAAATCATTATTTTTTGTGTGAGAACTAAGAATTTAGGATCCTAACATGGACTTATTTGGGCTTGCCTCGAGGGGCATGGCACAAAGGTGACTCGTAGAATTAGGAATGTAATATGTTTTACATCACATTAGCTACATGAAGTAATGCAATTGAAGAAAAAAAGAGATTGTGTGCTTTACATGCTTGAAAATGTTTTATTTGTTTAATTTTATTTTTAAATTTTCATTTGAATATGCTTTACATGTTATGTTTATGTATTTTAATTTTAGATAATAGGTTTTTTAAAATCATTAATTTTAAAAATTAAGTTTATATTTCTTAATAATACTATGTTTAATATTTTTTTTTGAATTTTTTGGCTTTTTTGTTGAATTTTCTGACATTTTTTATTTTTAGCAATTTTTTGTATTTTTGCACCTTGCTTCAAAAAGGTGCGCACATCGCCTTGCGCCTCTTGCTTTGGGCACAAATTGGCCCTTGCGCCTTGCACTTTTAAAACATTGTGTACACCAGAACCATCTGAAAAGCAAAATGATGGCATACCCAGCCTCGATATTATCAATTTTCTTTAAATAGGAAAGGAAAAAGGTCTTATCAATTTTCTTTATTTTTCTTTTGATCTATCACAAAAAAGGTCTTATCAAGTTTCTGGGTTCCAAGATTAATTCTTCATTTAAATCCCTATTTGTCTTTCTTTTTCCGTTTTCCCTATTTCTCATTTTGCTGGGGGCAAGCTGGATTTGCACATGAATTCATGGCCAGAATGAGTTATATTTTGTATCAGTACCCATGAAAATGGAAATATGTTGTGGAAATATTAGATATGTAAACATTTTAAACCATGTAAGAAAGATGTAAATAGTTTTAATATAAAATTCTATATATTACCTCCTTAAATTTTAAAAGAATCAAATTTGATACAGATGCTGGCTTTGCCTGGTCCCACCTGGAAAACACCAAGGAAGCATCAAGAAAACATTTAGATAAGTGATGGGACTCTCCTCATGTATACAATGCAATGCCATGATATATAATTAGTTCTCTTGATTCTTGTTGACCACTAAGGTGCAGTTTCACTATAGATCAGAACATTAGTAGTGGAACTATATCATCTGATAATAGAACTCTGCAAGCACTATTCTTTCTCAAATGCTTATGACGTTTTAACATTAAAATGTGTTAATGCAAATTGAGAGAGAAAAACCACAATGACAATTGCATAATAGCAACCTAAAATATTACCATCTCGCAAACAGTCAAATCATCAATGTCTGATATGATCATAATGGACAGATTTGTCAAGGGGTCATTACTTGGTATGATGGTAAAATCTCTTCGAGTGTGAGAATGTGGGTTCAAGTCTGAGAGCGGCCCCTTTGTGCAAAAAACGCCAAAGGTAAGAACCATATCCTGTCCACCCCTCCCAAGACCCCATATAGATGGAACCAACATTGGGTAATGGCCCTTTTTTTGTTAAAAGAAAAATTAGTTTCTTCAATTCTCTAATGTAAATGAGGAATCCCCATAGACAGAAACCAAATCAACCCACATCTGTGTTCCCATGGTCCATAAGTAAGCAGCTTCTGAGTAGGTTATTTAGTAAATTTTTGCATTTTCTTCAGCTACCTTGACATAAGTTGTTTTGGGATCAAAATGAGAATATCTATTTGAAAGCATCACACAATTTGTATCTTCTTTCAATACTAGTTATTCCATAATGTGACAAGTTCCAACAATAAAATTGGATGCAAATGAAGCACATTTAGCCAGAATGGGTGTATCGTGCATAGACACTTTTAATAAAGGGAATCTTATCATACTTTGTATTCTTTCGTTTGATAGGAATACAATATATAACAATATCCCTTCTCCAGATGAAGTGAGCAGTTGAGCACAGACTGAAACATAACCATGATTATCCTTCTTACCCTAATTCAAACACAAATCATGCCAGATGATGGAATGATGATAAAAAGAGCTTACATTGTTGACTTAACCCCAATATGGTTCATAAAAATCAATATAATTTGCATTTCCGTGTCATTTTCACCAGGGCATAATAAGTACCACTCCCAGAAGAAGAAAGACCAATTAAATGCTTTTAATGCACATTCTCTCCCTGTAATACAATTAACAAATGGAAATTAAGTTAAAAAACACTTCTTACCTTACAAGCATTAACTCATTAACAGATCGCCACATTCCGCGTCCTACATCTTTTGGAGATTGATCTCTTGCACTTCTCCCATGCCACAACTCTTTTACGACATACATCACATCTTCAATATCTACCTTAGATAGTTGATCAGATCAACAATGAGATACAATAATAGAAACAGAAATATTAAAAGTTTATGCATGCAAGTGTATGCATTTAGTATCTCAACTGTCAGCGAACATAATTCCACAATTAAAAGTTTATGCATACAAGTGTATGCATGTAGTACACATATGCAAATCAGTCTACCAGCAATATGAAGTATGGTAAACGAGAAGAAACAGGAGAACAAAATGTAAAAGAAAATGCTAAGGATTAGTTATAAAATTTCCATGGAAGTTTAAAATAATGCCATATGTTCATGATAGTAGATGGCTAGACATAGTCCAAAGTCAAAAGTTGATTCTGGAATGGTGGAGCAAAAGGAGCGGTCACCCCAACCTTTAGTTGGTTGAAATTATAGAAGATTTGGATAGGTTTTAGTAAGTTGTCTAGCCTAGTTGATTTTAATACCTATGCTTAGTTTGTATCTAAAATTTGTGCCATCCAGTACATGTCATAAAATCCAATTACTTGGGTATATCTTACTTTTATTTTATTGATCTTGGTATCTAGCAACAGACTGGTTAGGTTAAGGAAAGGTTTTAAAAGGTTTCTGAGAGAGATTTTACGTGCTTTAATATATTGTAAATAGCAATGTGAATGGTACCCATTAGAACCTTTTTGGTTGTTTTATTGATATTGTAATTCAGGCCAATTGCTGCTATAGTTATATGGTTTTGTCTAGAGAGAGAGAGAGGCATCAAAAGCTCAATAAAATTAGAAACAAATAGCAAGAATTTCCTTTCAAAGATACTCAATCAACCATCATAGACCACAGAAATCTTTTTTTTTTTATGAATGAAAATAATTTATTAAATCAGAATATAAGGCAATACARGAAACCCATGAARAGGCACGAGCTGTTACCTCTTCTAACAAAGTATTACATCAATTAAGAACCGGATAAGCAGAAATAAACAGAAATAAAATTACATWGMAGCCCAAAACAAATGATCCCTTGAAACCCCTTGCTTAGCTAGTCCATCCGCTAAGGAATTTGCTGATATTTCTACCCAAAGAGAGGTAACTGTCATATTTCTTGTGAGCCAATTGACTTTCCTCAATAAATCTCTATATCGCCACATAGCTGAAGCTGGCTTTGTCAGCCATCCCACAACAATTTTAGAGTCTCCTTCAACTATCAAGTGTTGAACTCCTAACTGTTCAGCAATCTGGATGCCTTGTACAGCCGCTAAGATCTCTGCTCTATTTGAGTYTCCYATTCCCACAGGGCCTGAAAACAAAGCTAGGATGTTGCTCTCTCTATCTCTCAGCACCCCTCCTATCCCCAAAGGGCCTGGGTTTCCTTGGCTACTACCATCAAAATTCAGCTTTGCCAAACCTTCAAGAGGAGGCTTCCACACTGCAGCTGCCTTGTCCCTCCTCATATGACTAGTGACTACCGCCTTCCAGTTACTCCAAATGTCATCAAAGGAAAACGTATGAAAAAGTCCAAAGTTCTTAGCCAATGAATGGCTCTAGTCAATATRCAATCCTCAACAGTTTGTAAGCTTCTTTCCTTTTCTTTGAACACCCTAGCATTCCTTTCTTCCCAAATTGTCCACAAGGCTGCTGCTCTAATACATATCCACATCGTTTTTCCTTTTTTTGTAGGCCACACAAAACAAGAAGGATC